TCTGAAAAATGGAACCATTATACTAAATATATTCGGAAAAGCTAATGAAGTTACCACATCTGAAATATCGAACCTTAAACTAATGTTCCTCGACTGACTCAGCATAGATCCAGTGAGTGACTTCGCGCGCCAGAATATATGTACTTTTTCCATTTAAAAGAAATATATTCTGATAAGCTAATGAAATCAATCATTGGATCTATGCTAAGCCAGTCGGGGAACAATCAATTGGATTAGTAGGAAGCATTTTCTAGAGATAAAAACAAAAAACATTGTGTTCCCTTGAAGGAAAGGCGAGAAAGGGACTGGATGAAAGACTTTCCTCTCTAATCCTCTCTGTAGCATTCCTTATTACAGCTTACTTTTTTTAAGACAGAATTTTCTTAATTCGAAATAGAGTGAGAAGTCTCAATCTTCTAATTTTCCCAGGGTTAGTCGTCTAGCATTAGTCGTAAAAGTATAAACACAAAATTTTCTGAAGTTTTTGAGCAAATTAATGCTGCTAAACGAAATGTCTCAACAGTAAGGAAGCAATAAAAAGAGAAAAAGAAATGTCTCTACCATAAGGAGCTAGATGTGAACACACTTTTAGGGATGATTAGTGCTGTTTTGCGTCAATTAAAGATTTACTTAATTATCTAAAAGAAATTTATATCTGCCGTTGTACTAACTGAACATTTAGTGACCAAAAGTACCATCACCCAGTCTCATACGTGTAACATATTAATAGGAACTGTATCTTTCTTTGAGTTTCAAATTCTGCGCCTTCTAACATATATAAAACGTTGATACATGATATTATGCAGGAAATTATACAAATAATGGGTTTCTTCAAGTGTCCTGCAATGGTGGCTTGAATCAAATGCGTGCAGCCGTTAGTATTTGTTCTTTTGCTTTTCTTTATACATTAATATTCAATTCAAATAGCAAGAAAGTTGGGAACTCTGGAAACTGTATTCAAACTAAAGTAGGCTCCCATAATTTCAATTCATACTCCTAATCTGTAAATAATTCGCTATTTTTTTGAGTGTAGATCTGTGACATGGTGACTGTTGCACGGCTTCTGAATCTAACTTTGGTTGTCCCAGAGCTTGATAAAGCATCTTTCTGGGCAGATCCTAGGTAATTCTGGTGTTATGTAGATGTGTTTCTTTGACCTATTGCTTCGTGTTTTATAACAGCTTGTAACATTTCTTGGCAGCAATTTTGATGATATTTTTGATGTGAGACATTTTACTGCTTCACTAAGAGATGAAGTTCGGATAATAAAGAGATTGCCAAAGAGGTTCAGCAGGAGATATGGATACCAACCACTAGTAATGCCTCCTGTTAGCTGGTCAAACGAAAAGTACTACTTGCAACAGGTTTATCTACTTGTTTCTGTAATACATTTTTATTATATTTCATGATTGACCTACATAGTTGATTCTTCTTCATGATTATGGACATTGTCATTTGTCGTCACTTAGAAGACTAGTGCTTAAATCATAAAGCATTGGCGCGATACATCTCAACTTGCAAAGTACCGTTGTGTTTGCTGTATGTAATTTCATGTGCTGCTTTTGATATTGGAATCAGTCTGTATACAATGATTCTAATACCTTGATAATTGAATATTTCACCTCTGTTGCAATTTATGCATAAGCTACATTTGTTTATCCTGCTCTAATGCATTCGGACTACACAATGCAGATTCTGCCTCTCTTCAGCAAGCATCAAGTGATACATTTCAACAAGACAGATACTAGACTAGCAAACAACGGGATGCCTCCTGAGCTTCAAAAACTCAGATGTCGGGTGAATTTTCAGGCACTGAAATTCACTCCAGAGATCGAGGCTTTGGGAGAAAAATTGGTACATATGCTTCAGGCGAGAGGACCATTTGTAGCATTGCATCTACGATATGAGATGGATATGTTGGCATTCTCTGGTTGCACTCATGGCTGCACTGAAGAGGAAGCTGAGGAGCTCAAACGGTTAAGGTGATCATCTAAGAACGGCTTTTGTATTTTAGTTTTATTTTCTTTTTTCTTTTTCTTTTAAAATCACATGGAAAGGAGTTGTCTAAGAAAACTTACAATCTCTCAGAATCCCTGCAGACTTAGCACGGATTCTAAGTAAAACGAAGTACTTAGTTAGGATTAAGGCCTAGTTGGTTGGTACACTTAACATTAAATCTGGTGATTTTCAAGTGTCGCTTTAGTTTGTTTAGATATTTGTATGTCAGCAGAAATTTGTGGAGAGCTCAAGTGTTTAGAGGGATCCCTAATTTATGGTAAAAGGCTAATTGTCGAGTATTGGAATGAGAGGAACATTGAGGATTCTTATGTCCGATCCCAACCACGTTTGGGTTGAGGCATAGTTGTTCTTGTTCTTTCAAGATCTCTTTGTGCAAAAAATATATAATTCTGCCTAAATCGCTAATTCGAACCAGGCACAAAGAGGGAAAACACGGGTGGTATTTTACGATTTCCATATGCACAGACTTACATTAGTGGTCAACAGCCAGATCAAATTTTGCTATATAAGGACCTGTCTAGTATCAAAGATTTGGTCCCAACTTTTCGGCTTACTTGCTTTTGGTGTTTGTTGATTGAGACGATGTTGCAGCATTTATGTAACTCCATGTAATTTTTCAGCATATGGGCCCGACAGCTAAAATGCAGCTTGATGGTAGCAGTAGTGCTCATGAATTTGATGTTTAACATTGTTGAATGATTTAATGGTTTCACTTGGTTCTCCCACTCCGACCAATACAATTTTCTCTATTTCACCCTTTCGTCTTGACCAACGCGGAAACCTGTTGTCTATATAGTAAACTCCGTTCTGGTTCCCGTTGTTTCCTCAGGTATGCATTCCCATGGTGGAAGGAGAAAGAGATTATATCTGAGGAGAGGAGATCTCAGGGCTTGTGTCCCCTCACCCCAGAGGAGGCAGCTTTGATTCTGCAAGCGTTGGGTTTTGAAAAAGACATACAAATATATATTGCATCTGGTGACATTTACGGAGGTGAAAGGAGGCTTGCTGCTTTGAGAGCTGCCTTCCCAAAGATTGTAAGTGATTAGTGCTACTCTACTCTAATTGTGTCTTTTGCCGAGACATCTAAACTACCAATCTTAGCGCTGTTACTTAAAACATTTATCGATAACTTGCTGCTTGTAATAGGGAAAAGGTGGCTTAGCCAACATTTCTTATAATCTATTGCATGTGTTCTATTGTTCATTGACAGCACAACATGCTTTGAGACATTTGAACTTGGAAATGTGGAATTTGTGCTATGTATTGGAAAATGTTCGATGTGTTCTACTGCCAGCTTTTATGGCTGAGGAGTTGTTGTGGCTAATCTTTACATCTAAAACTGGAAACTTTTAGCTGATTATTCTTTTATCTATCAGCATGGCATGTGATTGATATAAGCTATAATTTTATGCTCAAATATCAGGTGAAAAAGGAAATGCTGCTTGATCCTGGGGAGTTGCGGCAGTTCCAGAATCATTCATCTCAGATGGCAGCCCTCGATTTTATAGTGTCAACTGCTAGTAATGTATTTGTTCCTACTTATGATGGGAACATGGCTAAAGTTGTTGAAGGTCATCGTAGGTACATATTACCTACTGTGCTGTTAATGATTCTGTAACGTTAACAACTATTTTGTCAAAGGAATCCTGAATAGATCCGTTGCAGGTATCTTGGTTTTAGAAAAACCATTCGATTGGATCGCAAAAGACTTGTACAGCTGTTAGATTTGCATCAGAACGGAACACTTACGTGGGATGACTTTACAGCTGCAGTCCGGCAGTCACATGAAGGAAGAATGGGGCAGCCGACTCGTCGCAGAGTTATTGCAGACAAACCAAAAGAAGAAGATTATTTCTATGCAAATCCACAGGAGTGTCTGTGTGAGAGTGCAAGATGTGATGATTTGTTAGGCCCTGATAATTCAACTGAGGTCCAATGAAATATGCGATTCGGAGCATGTCTTGCATGGATATTTAGTCCATGGTTATGCACAGGCATTTCGTGAAGAAAGCTAAGCGAAAGGCGTAACATTGTTGGTATACACACTCGAGATCCGTTAGCAAAAGGCCAGAATGCGGCCTTGGGTCATCAGGCATTTTGGAGAGGTGTTTTTCCGTAGATGGGTAGTTTATTACTGGGAGAAGCAAGAGAAAAAAAAAATGAAGAAACCAAATGTGTCATACTTGTCAAAAAGAAAAGAAAGTGTCATGTTAATGTGTTCATTCATTTTTGTTCATAATTTGCTCTCTTCAACAAGTTGAACTGTGCTGACTGTCACATGATACAACAATTATTTACAGGAAGATAACCCTTGTTACAATTAAATTTGCTATAATTGTGGAGCAAACAGTGTAACAGTTTGAATATTTATCTAAATGTCATGCCCAAAAAAGGAAGTTGAAACAAATTCTGAATTTGATGACCATAGATTCATCAGTTCTAGTGCATCTTTTGTTTGAAAGCAAGAGGAAGTAGTGAACTAGTATAAAAATCATTTCATAAAAAGGTTCAAGTTAGTTATACTATTAGTGTAAAGATTTTTCACATTTTTTTGTGTAGTTAAACCCAATGTTCTTAAAAGCGAGAAGTGCAAAAAAGTGATAAGGTCTACTGGGTTTGAAGTGAAAAGCGAGAAGTGGAGCGCATGTGTTCTTTGAAGTGAAGTGAAGCGCACAATTCGTGACATTAAAAAATATCAAAAACATATAAATGTAGTACTATAGTGATCTAATTGCAGTTAAAATAGCTAATTTCAGTACCCAATATACAACAATGTGGATATTAATCCAACCAACTCTTCAAAGTTAAGATTCAATAAATCAACTGTAACTAATTGGTACACTTTGCACACGTCATGTTTGACATGCACATTTCTATAAAGTGCATGGCTTTACCCGTGAAGTGATAACCCCTCGCTCTGCATTGCTAAGGTGGCTTTTAATAACATTGGTTTAACCTGTGGTAGTATGTAAATTGCAATGTTTATCATAAAAATTTACCAGTAATTATTTTGTTACTGATGGTGTAAATTTCTTTTATATTGTCAATACATAAATGTGAACTCTTCAATAAGTAACATCTTTAGATCTGAGGACCAATGGGAAGATAATGGTGGCCTCAATCAAAGGTTTCACTTGCTTAGACTAATCTTAAACACAATAAGACTAAAACCTTGAAATAATCTGATGACTGATGTTATCTTCTGAACTCTTCTGTCCTGAAGAATTCTGATGCTTGAGGATTTCACAAGAAGATAATATAGAACCGCTCTTTCATTATTTACATCAGATAAAAGCAACCTCTCAAGCCCAAGCTGTAATAACTCAACTAGACTGATCATAAGATCAGCAGGTGCACAAAGCATCCCGCATTCAGTAGAAGTGTCCTTACTTTGGCTCCCAAAATATGATATCTCCTTGCTCTCCAACAAGGCCAAGATCTTTAAGCCTCCTTTCCCCGTAGTATTCTAATTCATCTAGTTCCAGTTCCCTTTCCCTAAAGATATCGTCGATTTGTTTCAATACCCTCTTCTCCCCCAATCTTATCCCAACTGCTATCTGAAGCCTTGTACTGAGGTTTCCTTCCTCCATCAGTTTCTCATCCTGCAATACACAGTATTCAATGCCGGAAATAAGACCACATGTACAACATAGTGGAGAAATAAAGCGGTTTATTCATAGCATTTAGTTGAATAGTTTGAGGTAGGTGACAATGAAACATGCATGACCAAAATAAAGTAGGACAAGTTGCAATGCAATAGTGACGGAGCCAGAATTTTCACTAAAGGGGGTCGAAAAATAAATAAGTAAACCCATGAAGCCAAAGGGTGTCAATATGTAGTATATATCCAGTCAGAACTCTCTATAACCCCTATCATTTATAGCAGCACTTTACTATAATGGCCAAGTTTTCTTTGAAACCAGTTTTTCATATTGTGTTATAATATATGTTTTCTATAACAACACTTCACTATAGCAGCAAAAAAATGTCGAAACAGACGCGGCTGTTATAGAGAGATTTGATTGTACAACAACAACTAACCTAGTATATTCCTACAGTGTGGTATTTGGGGAGGGTAGTGTGTACGCAGACCTTACCCCCACATAAAAAAAAAATGTTACCTAGCTACATAGTGTATATTTCCGACAAAGGGGTGTGTACATGTGGCTCCACCACTGAAGGCAATGCAACTCAACTGATACTTCTAATGATGTAAATTTACCTCTTCAATTGTGGTGTGATAGCCAGAAAGTGCAGATTTGCATGCATCTCGTACGACTTTACATATGAGCTCCTCATTTGCTCTGCTAACAGGCAAACCAAGATGACCCCAAACGGAATTTCTGAAAATTGATTCTAGTAGGAAAGCATCAGTTCCGCCTAGGGCAACCAGCCTCAGATATGGAATCATAGTAGGAGGGAGAGATTGTCCAATCTTTATGTCAAAGTAAGCAGTTTCTCCTATGCCATTTGTCTCTGCTATATCCAGCTTGTCTCCATAAAACTCGTCAGACTCTGATATTTCTAATGTTAACGTAAATGCATCACGAGCTGAACTTGGTTCGATGAAACCATAGTCAAGCGCCATATCAGCATTACTTTTGTTCAGGTCATATTGAATGAAAAGCTGTCAAATCACCACATCTATACAAGTGAGCTATAGCAATTAGATGACCCAACAACAACTGCTACATAACACATGCAATTACGAGGCACGAAGTAATGAATATTATTTTTCACAATATGCTAGCTTTTCCTTGGCGCAACCGGTAAAGTTGCTGCCATATGACCAGGAGGTCACGGGTTTGAGTTGTGGAAACAACCTCTTGCAGAAATGCAGGGTAAGGCTGCGTACAATAGACCCCTGTGGTCCGGCCCTTCCCTGAACCCCAGGCATAGTGGGAGCTTAGTGCACCGGGCTGCTGTTACAATGTTAGCTTTTCGATGAACAAGAAGCAGAATAACTTGTCCAGCTAGTTGATCTGTCTAGTGAAGAGACAACAACAACAACAACAACCCAATAAAATTCCACTAATGGGGTCTGGGGAGGGTAGTGTGTACGCAGACCTTACCCCTACTCCGAAGGAGTAGAGAGGCTATTTCCGAAAGACGAGTGAAGAGAGTTTCTGAATTTTGAAGAACTCCTTACCTGGTCTCCAGCTTTCAGTTTCAATGGACTTCGTAAAGAAAATAACAAATCCCACGAGAACAGACCGGCTGGTCCCCTAACTTCATGCGCGTGATCTTCTGTTGTCACTCTGGCATTGTGGTTTGTCTGACAATTAAACCATGTATATGACATTATTCACCAATTGATGTATAGCCAAAAGTATGATGATATGCAATATCCAAAGATAACTTTAACAAACAAAGAAATTCTGTTAACTTTCCTCGGTCTCAATTGATACTCGTTTGTAAGTAGTCATTCATCACTATCTAAGTGATTTTCATTTACCTAGAATCTTACCAGGTCAGCAAAGGGGACGAGAATAAGATTTTGATTCCGAAGACGGGAAAATGCCCTTGATCTGAGTATTCCAAATGCCCAGAAGAAATCATCCAAAGTTATAGGAAAAGGGAAAAGCTGCTTGTTACGAAGTATGACTTCTTCTTCCACTTTTTGAAATTCATTTTGCACATAATCTTTCACACTCATCGTCGTGCTTAACAGTTGAGTCCCTGCAAACCATAGCACGGCAAACAAATTAATCAAAAGTACTGGGAAAGAACCTTAATTATCATTTGGCCAAACAAGGAGAAACTCATTTCTTATCTAAGAGCCGTTTCATCTTCGCTTATAGACAATGGCATCCCATTCTACATATTGGTTATGGAGTATAATCAAGAAAATCATGTAACTATCCTATATAAAGGCAAACCGATTTCTTTAACGAAGTCATAAGAGATCACAATTTCATAGGTCACAGGAAAACCATCAACTAGCCTTCAACATAATACAAGATTGCATCCAAAGCTGCAAAGTGCAGACCAAGTTTAAGAGATTATGTAACCAATTAATAACAACTCTTAATACTGCCAGAATTATTAGACAATAAAAATAATAAAACAATGAGTGTGAGCGTTGATGAAATGGTAAGAGTTTCGCTTTGGTAGCAGAACAGTCACGGGTTTTAAGGCACGAAAACAAACTCCTGTGTAAATGCAAGGGGAAGACCACGAGTGCTTTGTCATGGAGTAAGACCTTTAGTAATAAAAAAGAGTAAGTTTTACGCAATCAGGTCATTTATAACGTAATTATAGGTAAACCTCGACAATAAACATTATGTATTTAATAACTTGGTAAAAATGATAATTAACCAATCAACAACAACAATAACAACAAACCCACTGAATTCTCACAAGTAGGGCCTGGGGAGGGTAGTGCGTACGCAGACCTTACCCCTACTTTGAAGGGCAGAGAGGTTGTTTTCGATAGACCCTCGTCTAAAGAGAAGATGAAAAGAAGCAGTGGCAACAAGTAGTAATAACAATAAGATATTAAGAAAATTGAAGAGAAAGATAGTAATCAACAATATGTAACAACAGAAATCTACGAATAAGAAGGATTAATTCTGTAAAACAATGAACAAAAAAAATCTGCAGTTTTACTTATAAGGCAATTATCGGTAAATCTCAACAATAAATATTACATAATTAGTAACCTAGTAAAAATGAAAACTAACATGCTATCACACGTTAAACTTAACTACACCGATAGCGTACAAATTCTTTATATTATCATCAGTGCATATAACTTAACTCTGTAACATAAACATCTCCAATTTTCTTATTAATAGCATTTTGTACAAGGAAACCAAATTACCTTGAATCTCAGAGAGCTCCTCTTCAGACCTGCACTGGAATAACATACAAAGCAACCTTCATCAGCAACATAACTTCCTAATACAATAGTATTTATTATACAAAACAACAACAACTAACCCAGTGTATTCTCACAAGTGGGGTCTGGGGAGGGTAGTGTGTACGCAAACCTTACCCCTACCTTTAAGAAGACAGAGAGTTTGTTTCCGGTAGACCCTCGGCTCAGGAAAGATAAAAGAAAAGGGCAACAACAAGCAAACCAATTGGAAAACTGAAGCGAAAATACAAGACTAATACAAAGTAATGCAGTCAGAAAACCGAAATGAAAACAATAACAAGTACTAATAGAAGTCTAAGAATAAGAAAATACACAACAGATACTAAGCAATGCTATGTTGCTCGGACTTTCCGAAAATGTGCGTGTCGGATACTCCAAAAGTAGTATATTTTTGGAGGATCCGATACGCACCCATCAACATTTAGTATATTTTTGGAGGATCCGATACAGATGCGGCAACTGTTTTGGAGAGTCCGCACAGCGTAGAAGTAATGTAATAAAGCTACTATTACAAACAAGGGACAAAAAATATTATTAAAAAAAAAGAAAAAAAAAGAAGGGCAAACCCACCAATATATAGTAGAATCAGTAGACTTTGGAAGAACATCCATATAATATTTCCACTTGGAATCATCTCTCCACTTCTCTCTAAGCAAGAAAAGTGCAACAGAAATCCAAGGTTTCAATCCACTACACACATTCCCAATTTCAGATTCAGCAACTGCATCTGGATTAATCCAAAATCTTTTAGGCACTTGTAAAACAGTTTCACCTTTAGCTATATCTCTTTTAGCAACAAGTCCTAAACCTTCTGGTACAATTCCTGGCTTTACCGGTGTCTTTGTTGTTACAACCCCTTCTTTACATAGCCATTGCCAAAATGTTTGCACTGGTTGTGGTATTTTTGGGTCAAGTTCTGTTAACTGAAGTGAATTTATCAAGATTGTTTTTTGGTAAGTGTAAAAAGTTTGATGATGCTTTGTTCTTGATTTTGTGGTTTTGAGTGGACAGAGGAAAGAAGAAGAAGGTAAAGGGTGTACAGAGAAAACAGAAGCCATTTTTCTAGCTTTGTTTCCCTCTTGCTACTGAGTGCAGGTTGAGATACTCGCTTTACGGTTGCTAGATTTCCAGATGAGGTTGTTATACAGTTAACACACGACCTTTTTTCTTTTTTCATTTTTTTGTACTTTGAGTTGCATTTGCGGTAATTCTGTCAAACTAGGTGACGTTATTTTCCTTTAAGCAACTAATATTCTCTTTCACCCCACTTCTAAAATCACCTTATTTTAAAAATTATTTTTAAAAGTATTTTTGAAGAAATATTTTTAATAAGAATTAATTTGTATTTGGCTAATCAATTTGAAAATTATTTCTGGGTAACAATTAGTGTTTAGCCAAGTTTTAAAAAAAGTATTTCTAAGTATATTTTTTTTTCAAAAGTAACTTTCAAAAAGTACTTTTGTGGATAAACTAGTTTTTCAGCTTCCCAAAAATAACTTCTGTTTCTACTCAAAAATATTTTTTTCCTTCAAAAAACTTGGCCAATTTACCTTAACTTTCAAAAAAAAAAATACTTTAGGCAAAAAACAAAAATAATAATAAAACTAATTTGGCCAATCAGGCTACAAGCAAGGAGCATTTTCTATTTTTTTTATCCATTGCTTTCATTAAACAATATTATTATCAATTTTAATTTTATTACATCAACAATACACGATTTTTTTTTATATTGTCAAGTCATCTAAAATACTATTACAAGTATTTGTCCTTTATAAGAATAATTGGTAACCTGTAAAAAATAAAACAGACAAACTGCTATAATAGTTAAATTATACTAATCATTATACTATTTACTGTAAATAAGCTAAAACCCTAATAATAAATGCATCATCTCCCTTTCTGAGGATTTTACCTTTTGAATTCATTGCCATAAAAAAAAACTCTTCTTCGTTAATTGCAATAAGTCAACATATAAAAGTTTAGAAACTATGGCATCCAACTTTTTAAGAAGTTTATTTTTTTACATTGGTTCAAAAGTAAAAGAACTAAATACTAATCCAATAAGAGATTATGAAGAAAGAATAAGATCTTCAAAACAGGTTGCATCCCACATCGTTAGTTTAGCATAGTATTTATCACTTTATATTTGATAGAGAAGAGAACCAATATCGCCGAGCTCAGTTACGTGGGCTTGTAACTCAAGTGTGGGCATTAATGTGGTGGAATATTGGGCCTGTTCAGATGGCAGGGTTTGGGTGGCTAAATTCTGGCCTGCCCTATCCAAGCTCAGAGTTGGGTCATGGGGCTCAAACGAAGGTATGGGCTGCTTGGCTCTCCTAAAGTGGGGTGGACTGCGTGAGGCTGGTTTCACAGAGCAACGAATAGCTCCCGCTCTGTGCAGTGGAAGGATAACAGGCCGGCGTCATCTAAGCCCAATAAATGCCTGATGGGCTGCTCTAATTAAACCACCACTTTTTTTGGGCTGAAAAACTAAAGCGCGGCCCAGTCTACCCGATTAAGGTTTTGGAATTCTTTTGTTTGGTCTTCGTCTCAGTATTTCTTTTCACTTTTTTCAGAAAAAATCACAAAGAAAAACAAGCTTAATATTTATTTCAGGTAAATGGAAAGGAAAAATTATAAAAGGCTAAAAATATGTAAAGTTTAAAAGTATAGTTGTTCAATTTGGTTTTTTGTTACATTCATTTATATATCATTTATCAGGGAACTCAAGTACTCAACTCTAAAATAGTTCGCTTACACCTAGATTTTGTGATCCTTTTTGCACTTTAGGTGATAATATCCTGGCATTTATGAGAGTTCAATTTTTTATATATCTGATGCTAGTTTATCATTAAGGTTCTACCACCCTTTACCCTGTTTAAAACACCTTTAATTCTAGAACGATAAAAACTTATCCGCACCGCATAGGCAAGATGTAAAGGAAAAAAGATCTGTTTTTCTGAGATAAGGAAAAAAGATCTGTTGTTACATTCATTTATATATCATTTATCAGGGAACTCAAGTACTCAACTCTAAAATAGTTCGCTTACACCTAGATTTTGTGATCCTTTTTGCACTTTAGGTGATAATATCCTGGCATTTATGAGAGTTCAATTTTTTATATATCTGATGCTAGTTTATCATTAAGGTTCTACCACCCTTTACCCTGTTTAAAACACCTTTAATTCTAGAACGATAAAAACTTATCCGCACCGCATAGGCAAGATGTAAAGGAAAAAAGATCTGTTTTTCTGAGATAAGGAAAAAAGATCTGTTGTTANCCCCCCCCCAAGGAAAGCAACTACTAATATATAGGTCATCTGAACACAGCACCCTGAAGAAATGTAAGATTCCAGCAACACTAAGAAATTAGCTGCAAGAAATCATGAATTAACTAGACAAAGCAGATTTTTTTTGCAACAAACCACAGGAAGAAAAAGAAAAAAGCCATCAGAATTAAATGTTACAACCACCACAGCAGAACTTCACTTTTTACTCTTTTAAACTCCTGGAGTTAATCATCCCTGTACCACGGAACGATTATCCACATATTCCGGTAAAGTTTTTAAGGTCATTTAGGATTGCCTCAGGGCACAAAAGAAGCTTAATTTTCACTCTTTTAACGGTTGGTGTTGTACTTCCAGATTTCCTACACAGAATTAGCAAGAACACACAAGAAATCCTAACACAGTGAAATCTCAGGACCTTCAGTAAGTCATCAGCCTAAAATCATAACTGCCTCGAATTGAAAATCAATGATATGCCATGGAAACAGGTAAACATGTAGAATGAGGTCAGCTTTTATCTGGCCATATGACTATTAGGACAAGTACATCAGCAAAACTAAGAGAGGAAGTGGTGTTTATGATGTAAGCACCATCTTTTGATGCTCAACAACAGCGCTGCTCAAACTTTCAACTGTTATGGTTCCCTTCCTTTTACCCGTTTTTCAAGTATCAAACTATTATGGTTTCCCTTTTACCCTGCCCTACGCCAAAAAGGATAAATAACAAGTGAAATGGACCATAGTCTAGCTTCTATCATGTCAGAGAACCATATTGGAAGTAGAGCTAGGACCTGCACCCAGACTGCACATATGAACATGAAAGACACAACTTGATGAATGCCACAACGTACATGCCACTAGGAAGTATGCAGCCATTGGTGTAGTCCGGTATACAGATGATCTTTAACGAATTACCATTTGTATGGAAAATAATTTCTTTAGATATTTGGAGCACAACAGAAGCAACTTTGAGATGAATGAAAGCATGAGACAAACAAACAGCATTACATCACCTTAGCTTTCATGAAGTAGCTTACCTTCTACGAAGTTTATTTGACTTGAGGAAAAGACCATTTCTAGCTAGCCACAGAATAAGGAGATTCAATCAAGAAATACTGGACAAAACTCAAGAAAAGTCATATATGAAGACCACTAACATAAGCCCCAGGATATCCTCTAATCTAGTTGTCACTTGACTTGCTCAATCTAAAACTTCAATCACATTTTCCAGATTTGCTTTCCACGCACTTTCCGGGGTACACTGCTGAATACAGGTGTAATGTTAAGAAGCCATAAAAAATAACCATATTTACCAACTTAAAACAGTACTTTCCTCTGGGTATGACAACAAATATTCTCCTTATAATATCTGGCTGAGAAGCAGCGCAACATGATGGCACATCATTTTGTAGTACATATGCAGAGGACAACATCAGTGGCTTTAAAATGCATTGCACATGCAGATACCCACCATTATTATGATATGATGGAACACTTAGTATGTTCCATCATATAAAAGATCAGGTGATCAGCAGCAACACTAGGATACAATAAAAAAAATGTACTTCACTTAACTGTCAAGTCTCTAGAGGAAATTAATAAAAGCTATATATGGCAGGATGTATAGAATTAACAGCTAAGTGACTTAAAATTTTTGCAGGCAACAACACTGAAAGATGGAGCAAGGCAAAGACTGGGAAACACTAAAAATGCCAATCGTATCATATTCACTACCTTTTTTGGGATACGTTACACCATTCACTACTTGTCTTTAGCAAGCAATTGGAAAAAAAAAATCAAAAACTCTTGTACTGCATTGAATAAGCAAATGAAGTTGACTTTAAAACAAAATAGTTTTCAGAAAGTTAATATAAAATTTTCAGGGAGCTCTGGGAAACAAGGGATTGATGTCATCAATGAGTAATCAAACCAATGTCTCGTTGTTATAACACTACTAATATTAAGATTTACTTTGATAAACTATATGACTAGCTCTTGGAACTTAACAACTGATCAAAGGATGTAACAAGATACAATATGCACATTACCAGAGCTCTAACAAATGCAATCTTGCATTCTTATCTTGCTCAGTCGATTTTCCGCTAAACACGCAGAAAATTTTGCATTCTTATCTTGCACATTACCAAAGCTCTAACAAATGCAATCTTGCAGAAAGAACAACATACTCCTAAAGTGATGAAGAATACAAGATAGAAAGTAGTTAATCCATATGATTTTCATTGATGCATTTACACATAAATCAACATTTACTATACCAATTCCAGCAGCAAAAAATTAACATCAAATTCTTATTTATCCAAAAGTAGCTAATAACCAAATGACACAACTTACATATCAAGAGTTGAATGTCATAGCTGGAAGATTTCTTCTACTCAATCCAGCATAATTATTATCATAAATCAGAAGAAACTATAGTCTACACTCAATGACACGAAGGAAGTGCGACTAATTATTCAGTTCAAGAGAACCCGTATAATGTTAAAATTTGAGGCAAATTCAGTACAACTATTGGAATTATAGCATTAGCCAAAAGCTCTTAATTTTCTTCCCTCAATTCAAAAAAATCTCCTAAATTTCCCACATTTTAATTATCAAAATCACCTATAACCCCCACCCCCAAAATTTATAAAGATCAATTCTTTTGCTTCTGCAGAGACTTACTAACCCTGATTTAGCTAAGAATTATTTGAATTCCCGTCCAATGTAGGGTCCATCGACACGGATCCCGAAGCATCACCACCATTCCCTTGCTCCTTCTCTTTGTCCAACTCCTTGTTCAATTCAGCCTCAGCAGCTTTCTCAGCCTGTAATATAGGGGCATAATAATCACTATGAGCTTCCATACA